TGTAAAGTTACAATAAATCATTTATCAAAGTTGGCCATAGTTGTATGTAAAGTTACAATAAATCATTTATCAAAATTGGCCATAGTTGTATGTAAAGTTACAAAAAATCATTTATCAAAGTTGGCCATAGTTGTAAGTAAAGTTACAATAAATCATTTATCAAACATGCTAATAAAAGTTCATCAGAAGCAGGTTTGGTTTAAAAGGCATTTCAGAATATAATTAAATGACTTATTACGGAAACATCAGCTGCGATTTAATTCGCATATTTCCATTCTAAGGACTAAGCGAGGATATTTAGGGGTCAGCTCTAACCAAGAACAGGACCTGTACCTAGAAAACGGAAACGTATGAACAACTTTAACAACTGTACATAGAGCAGCAGGGGAAAACATTTCACTGCATCACAGCACTCTAAAATTAAACCTAAAGCATGCCTACGTACGTCATAGCTTAGCATGGGTGCCTTAGCCAGTAGTGATAGAAATGCTTTCTCTGTAGCAGGAGAATACACTGGTCTGTGAAATTGTTTTTTCTTTTTGTTGCGAAAATATTTTGTCCAGCTTCAGAGGCACATTTAGCTTCTGTGTGGGGGATGTGCTAAATGTATCTCCACACAAACTAACACATTGAACTGGGAAAGAGACTAGACTATATTCCTGGCACCATGCCAGAAAAATCTATAAAAATAGATTCAAAGTCTGTTCCACAGCTTCACATATAAGAAACCAGTGCCAAGACTCTGGTTGACAGAGTACAAAGTGTTTACACACGTGTTGGAATTAAGTCTTAGGCAAACAATTAAGATAAGTATGCAAAAGGCCGGGTTTACATTTATATATTTTCTAGAGAAAAATCTTAAACAGAGACATTCCAGTCAGTGTGTCAACTTCAGAAAGTTGGTCCTGCAGTTTACAAAACTTCTAACAGGATTAGTTAATCTACACTGGTAGCCTGGGTAAAAAAAACTGTCCAACCAATTATTACTGTTGCCTGACAATTTCTCAGGTAAAGTGTGCAAAACTGTTCCAGTCACCCTAAAGTCCTAAAAACCCTAGCTACAGTGCTTATAGAAAACCCTCACACCCTGTCAGAATCCTTATCGTTTGTTTCATTACAATCTGGAATTTTAACTAAATCAAATCAAACCATTTTTAGGCTTTATTTCCGCATTATAACCCTCATCAAAGTGAAAATAACATTTAAAGACATTTTGAACAAAAAAGGTTTGGATAAGTGACCAGCCCCTTATAGAGTAACCATTATAAACATGCTAATTGCCCCCCACATGACATAAATTGTAGTGGTTTTAATTAATTCATAAACAAACGGCTGTTCCATGATGATTCCATTACTAAAAGTGCACGGCAACGCTAAAAATACACTATGGTTGAAAAGGTGCTTTCAAACACACTCTGGGACAACGTTGTGGAAAGGAATGTCAGAGAAGGATAGAAGATTTCAAAAGCTTTAACTATCCCTCTGAGTAGAGTTCAGGGAATTATTAACAAGTGGGAAGCGTAAGGCACCACCAACACCTTAGATAGCATGGTGAAAACCAAACACAACACCCAAAACACACCATTCCTACAGTGAAGCATGGTGGTTGCCACATTATGTTGTGGGGGTGTTTTACTTCAGCGGGGACTGGGCAATTGGTCAGGATTGAAGGGAAAAAGGATGCTGCCAAATACACCCAAATTTTTGAGGAAAGCCCTGCTAGACAGCTGAAGATGCCAGGTGGTTCACCTTCCAGCTCAACAATCACCCTAAACACACAGCCACAAAACGATGCAGTGGCTCAAGGAGAAAACAGTGAACGTCCATGAGTGGCCAAGTCAGTTATGTTGAGTTTGTAATGGACCATGACCATTTATAATCGAATACAGACAGGTGACTTGTTTGAGGTTGCTGTGGCAACATGACCTTCATAAACACTCAGGCTTTTTTTAACTGCATGCAGGCACCCCCCCAACACACACACACACCTACCCTGCATTGTTGCTGACAGCTGTGAGGCTCTTTATACCAGTCTTTAATAAACTGTTAATAAGGTTCTCTGGGATGCCGCACAAACCAAAACCTGGACAGGGAAAGACAAATCAGACGACATAAAAATAAAAATTAGAAACAAATGTTTACTGATAGACTAAGTAAACTCAAGCAGCATGAGCCCATTGCTTTCCATGTGTGTGTGCGTGTGTGTGCGTGTGTGTGCGTGAGTGTGCGTGAGTGTGTTGGGGGTAATGACCTCAAAATAATTGATTTGAACACAGTTTAGCTAAAACGGAGTGCATGGTCCATCAGCGATGAAATGGACAGGGGTGAGTGACTTGCCATGACTGAGAGAATATAACAATGAACTTTGTTCTTATAAAAAATGCTGCAGTGTTAAGGATCTGACCGAACATAGAAACAGACAGGTAGCAGGCATATATTGACCCCCATGTGAGGTGCTAGAACAGAAAATACCTGTTAACCTGTTATAGTCCTACCAAATGAGGTGCTAGAATAGAAAATACCTGTTAACCTGTTATAGTCCTACCAAATGAGGTGCTAGAATAGAAAATACCTATTAACCTGTTATAGTCCTACCAAATGAGGTGCTAGAATAGAAAATACCTATTAACCTGTTATAGTCCTACCAAATGAGGTGCTAGAATAGAAAATACCTATTAACCTGTTATAGTCCTACCAAATGAGGTGCTAGAATATAAATACCTATTAACCTGTTATAGTCCTACCAAATGAGGTGCTAGAATAGAAAATACCTATTAACCTGTTATAGTCCTACCAAATGAGGTGCTAGAATATAAATACCTGTTACCATGTTATAGTCCTACCAAATGAGGTGCTAGAATATAAATACCTGTTACCCTGTTATAGTCCTACCAAATGAGGTGCTATAATATAAATACCTGTTACCCTGTTATAGTCCTACCAAATGAGGTGCTATAATAGAAAATACCTGTTAACCTGTTATAGTCCTACCAAATGAGGTGCTAGAAATAAATACCTGTTACCCTGTTATAGTCCTACCAAATGAGGTGCTAGAATATAAATACCTGTTACCCTGTTATAGTCCTACCAAATGAGGTGCTAGAATATAAATACCTGTTAACCTGTTATAGTCCTACCAAATGAGGTGCTAGAATATAAATACATGTTACCATGTTATAGTCCTACCAAATGAGGTGCTAGAATATAAATACCTGTTACCCTGTTATAGTCCTACCAAATGAGGTGCTAGAATATAAATACCTGTTACCCTGTTATAGTCCTACCAAATGAGGTGCTAGAATATAAATACCTGTTACCCTGTTATAGTCCTACC